TATTTATTTATATGTGGTGCTGAGAATTCAACCCAGGCAAGTGTGCTACTGCTGAGCCCCAGCCCCAGGCCTTATGATAATTCTTATATGATCCAATGTTTACGAGAGCCTAACATATTTTTAGGCTCTTTCCTGGGTGTCACAAGAAAACAACAATAAAGAAGTTTAATAACCTCAAAAATTAATTACCCAACATACTAGATTGCCTACAGCGTGGGCAGCTCAATAGCTCTTAATCAAAATGGAGGTGTGGCCCACACAGTGGTGCACATCTGTAATCCCAGCTACTCAGGAGGCTGAGACAAGGATATCATGAGCTCAAGCCCAAGATCAGTAAAATCCCATCTCAAGAAATAATCCACCACCAAGAACCAACAAACACACAGCCATTCTGTCGACTCAGAAAGGCTTGGCATTAGGGTCCAATTATGAGCTCAAGCTGAAAGAATGCAGCAGATGTCCCCAAGCCTGCTCCCAAAGATGGCCCTCAACCCTGGCTACATTTTCACATCAATCAAGTCTACATGTGTGGTCCTATGTTCCTGCTGGAACCAGAGAATAATATATAGTTAATGGTCTCAAAATTGGGCACATGAATATCAAGTGTGTGAGACAATCTATGGGGTGTGGTTTGACAATTTCTTCCATTAGTTTCTTTTTATCCTTTGAAAAAGAAAGATTGTGTACTTTACCAACATCTTGTTACCGTGTCACCAGCAGACTCAGTTTGCATGAGATACATGGCTCCTCAGAGGTCATACATGAAAAGCAATGCCCCCCCCACCATGCAGTGGCACTCTTGCTTTTATTTATTTATTTATTTATTTGTGTGTGTGTGTGTGTGTGTATGCTGGGGATCGAACCCAGGGCCTTGTACATGCAAGGCAAGCACTCTACCAACTGAGCTATAGCCCCAGCCTACCCTTGCTCTTTAACTTTCAGCATAGTGACACATGATTGTTGTCTATGTTTAAATAACCTCAATGGATAAGAAAATAAGCTTTTCATATATAAACAGGGGTAAGCAACTTTTTAAAAAGTGTGTGGAACACTCTCCCTTAAGTTGTAGCCTGCATGCATGCCAGTCACTCTATCCACAGAAGTTCTTCTTAATAGACAGAAAGCTTGGATTTTCCTGGATTTTGTTATGCACATGGAGAAGGTAAACATTAGAAATGGCCTCTCTAGCTATTCCTATATTTTACTGTACTTGAAAAAGTTGGTTGGGAATGATCAAGAATTCTGTATGTTGATTTCATCTTTCCCTTATCATTTCTGAAAACAGTAAGTGGTCTTTGGGGTGCCCATGGACCGAATCATGCTTCTGTGGATTCATATGTTGAATCCCTAACCCCCAGTGTGACCATTTATGGAGAGAGAATCTTTCAGAGGTAAGTAAGTTTAAATGACGTCATAAGGGTGGAGACTTAGTCCAATAGGACTCTGGCCTCTCTCCTCTCCCTCTACCATGTGAGGACAGAGAGAGAAAGTGGCTATGTCCAAGCCAGAGGAGAGCCCCCACCAGAATGTGACAGTGCTGGCAACCTGATCTTGGATTTTCAGCCTCCAATACTGTGAGAATATAAACTTCTGCTGTTTAAGCCACCCAGTCTCTTTGTTGTGTTTATGGCAGTCTGCACTGACAGAGCGAGGGCTCAGCTTGCAACGATGGTGACATCCTGATTATTAACACAGTAGCAGAGCTCAGTCTTAAAGTGACTTTCAAATTCAAACATCATTTGATTTGGGGCAAGTCACTTTATCTCTAAGACACAGTTTCCCCAACTATAAAATAGGGCCAACAGTAGTCCACACAAATTTTGAGGTATAATCATAAAGGGACACTTATTTAATGCTTGGTACATAATGAAGATTTTATATAGTTAGAGCCACCTTTAAAGACTCAGTGATTTCATAACATTGTGATGGTTAGCGTGGGTCGGAAAACTCTGGCCCACAGCATTCTTGTAAGGGGGATAAAGTCAGGCTATGTTGTGCATTATTTATTTTTTCTCATTTCCAAACATGTAGCTTAAGAATCAGCTCCAATCTGAATGAAACAGATGCACACTGTCCCATGGTAGAAAATGTAAAATGAGTGTCTTTCTATATGCCTATGATGTGGCTTGATCACAGACTTTAAGTAGCTACCGTAAACATCTGGGCTTGCCCTCTGTTGATAGTGAGGGGGCTACAAACTGGATCCTCTAAGGAACAGGTCTGAGTCGACGTCCTGTGGTTTGTTAGTATCAGGAACCCACCCAGCCTGGTGACATGTTCCATCATCTGCTAGTACCTTCTGCAAGGGTTTTGCTGGGTTGTGTGTTCATTTGCTGGGAGTGTGACAGCCAAATGTCACAGACTGGATGGCTCTGACATAAGGAATGTCTTTGCTCACAGTTCTGGGGTCTGGAAGTCCAAGAGCCAGGTGTCGGCAGGGCTTGTTTCTTCTGAGTCCTCCCTCCTTGGCCTGCACAGGGCCACCTTCTTGCTGTACCCTCACATGGCATTTTCTCTGCACACTCAGCCCTGGCGCCACCATGTGTGTCCAAATATCCTTTTAAAATAAGCACATTAGTCAGACTGTGTGAAGATCCACCCTAATGGCCTCATGTTTACTTAACCACCCCTTTAAAGAGCCCATTTCCAAATACAGTTACCCTCTGAGGTTCTGGGGATTAGGGCATCAGCGTATGATTTTGGGGGGATCAGGGATACGTTCACCCACAACAGGTGCTAATCCAGGAAGTTCTGTCCCTTGATGCTGCCTTTTAAGATTTTTCTCAACTGAAATTGGGCCCATGCTTTAAGATTAAAAGCTGTGACATTCTGGTTTCCTGCCTGTGTCTGTGTGCGACACACTGGACAGTCTCTCTCTTCTTCTGGAGAGAATCTGTTGACTCTCCTAGTGGGGGCACTCTGTTCAGTTCCCATCTTCATGCCACTTCAAAGTCTCCAAAAATGTCCCCAGCTATCCCGGCCTGGACTGCTGCTCACTTAGGTATCCCTTCAGAGGCTGTGCCCCTCTGGCACGGGAGACAGTCACAAGCCCACACTGCCTCTGAAGGTCTAAGTGGAAAGCTACACCAAGTCCCCCACTGCTCATCCTCCCCCCCAGGTCACCGACTCCTGAACCCAGATGCAGAATTATTTAGGGAATTTTTTTCTTTCTTTTTTAAAAATAATAACAGTCACTATCAAATTTTACTTAATTTTTAAATAATCTTCGTTCTTTTAAAATATTTATTTGTTTGTTTATTAGTTTTTTAAGTGGACACAATATCTCTATTTTATTTTTATGTGGTGTTGAGAATCGAACCCAGAGCCTCATGCATGTTAGCCTCAGCCCCAGGGAATTTTTTCCAAAGGAGATTTATAGTTTAGAATTCATCCCAGTTGATTTTATGACCCTAGAAGGTGACGTGCTCTAAGCGAGCATGAGCCTGCTTCTTGATCACAGCCACACACAGCCACACTTCTCATGAGGTCGCTTCAAAGGGTGTTTGGTGAAGCAGCCCGGGAATACTCCTGTTTTTAATGAATAATATTTTCACCAGCCTTTCCTCAGAGTACCCTCCCCCACTGGAGGAGTCCCTGTGTCCTCAGTGCATTCTCTTGATGCTTTACTCTGTTACAAGCAGAATCTTAGAAAAAAATATTTATCATTTTGAAATAGTTTAAAGCCTTCGGGCCAAGGTTACTTGTAAATGTATGAGATTTCATAAAACCCTTTGAATGCAATTTTTAAAATATTTAATGCCACCCGACTGTTCTGCCATGTAAATTTCATCTTCTTTCATCTTGCTGGATCATGCATATCTCTGTGGGTGCCTGAAGTCAGGATTTTGGGCAGGCTCTTCTGCCGGTGCTTGTGTAGTTGTCTATATGTGCACATGAGGGAAGAGTTCAATGCTCCTCTGCTTTCCTGAGTGCGATGGAGCTTATGTAACGCGGGGCATCTACCTTTCCCTTCTCAGCAGCAAGTGCAGCAGAGCCCCTGGGGACCCCGCAGATCTGAGGAAGGCTGTGGAGCATCGCAGCTCCTAAACCTCAGCCACCTCTGGAAACAGGCGAAAGTGCCACCTTGCCTTTTCCCCGTTAAAGAAAACAGTCCTTTAAAGAAAGGACTGTGTGTCGTGTGAGACAGAAGCACTCCCATGCTGAGATGCGGAGGAGAATGCCCCCGGACGCCTCACTCGGCGTTGGCACGCGGACACCAGCACCCTCCGAAAGCTGAACCGCGGCTCCAGGTCTCCAGACCCCCTCCCGAGGGACGAGTGCGGGGGGGTGGTCGGAGGAAGGGCTCCAGAAAGTTCATTGGCCAACTTGTTCCACGCAGGGGACCCGCTTCACACAAGAGCGACAGGACCGAGGACAGCGCCAATCGGCGCGCTGGGGCGGGGGAGGCGGCAGCACCGCGGACAGCGCCGGAGCCGCGAGCCGGGAGAGGGGCGGTCAGCTGACGTCTGACGTCGGGCTGGATCCCCACTTTGATCAGGCAGGTCCGGGGGGGCGCGCCGGCGTTCGCTCTCTGAGCCGCCGCCCCAGACGCGGTGGGCACGGGACAGGGGCAGGGCAGAAGGCAGTTCCCAGGGAGCAGGCACCTGCCCGGCCTCCCCGCGCGCAGCTCGGCCGCTGCCTGGGGAAGCGCGGGCACCGGGCAGCCCTGGGAGAGCGTCCGCCCTGACGCACAGCCCCGCTCGGGGCACCCACAAGCCGCGGGGCCGACCCGCGAGACGCTGGGCTCCGAGCGACCGGACAGCGTCTCCGCGGAGGTGAGGCACCCGGGACGAGTCACCTCTTAGGCGGCCCTGGTGGGAGGCTCAGCTCCTGGACCCTGCTCTCCGAGACCCCGCCTGCAGCCCGCCTCCCCCCTCTCACTCCATCTCTCCGGGACGCTCACCGGCAGGAGGTTGGGCCCCATTCACGGCGCTGCCCAGAAAGCTTCCACTGACTAGAGGTTGCCAGCGCCCACACTGGCTCTGGGGGCAGTGGCCACCTTGAGTCTCCTGAACACCCTTTGTGCGAGCCCCGTGGCCCGTGTTCTGGTCCGGAGATGGATTTGCCTGTGAACTTGACCTTCTCCCTCTCCACTCCTTCCTTTCTGGAGCCCAACCGCAGTCTTGGTGCGGAAAACCTGCGCCCCAGCCCACCCCTCCCCTCCGTCTTCGGAGTGCTTGTTCTGACCCTGCTAGGCTTTCTGGTAGTGGCCACGTTCGCCTGGAACCTGCTGGTGCTGGCGACTATCCTCCGAGTGCGCACTTTCCACCGTGTGCCACACAACCTGGTGGCATCCATGGCCATCTCGGACGTGCTGGTGGCCGCGCTGGTCATGCCGCTGAGTCTGGTGCATGAGCTGTCGGGGCGCCGCTGGCAGCTGGGCCGACGTCTATGCCAGTTGTGGATCGCGTGCGACGTGCTTTGCTGCACAGCCAGCATCTGGAATGTGACGGCCATAGCCCTAGACCGCTACTGGTCCATCACGCGCCACCTGGAGTACACGCTCCGCGCCCGCAAGCGCATCTCCAAAGTGATGATCATGCTTACCTGGGCACTCTCGGCTGTCATCTCTCTGGCCCCGCTGCTTTTCGGCTGGGGGGAGACATATTCTGAACAGAGTGAGGAGTGCCAGGTCAGCCGTGAGCCCTCCTACACCATCTTCTCCACCGTGGGCGCCTTCTACTTGCCGCTGTGCGTGGTGCTCTTCGTCTACTGGAAGATCTACAAGGCCTCCAAGTTCCGCGGGGGCTCCAGGAAGACCAACAGAGTCTCACCTGAACCTGAAGTTGTGGAGGTGGGTGCTGCAACGACCCTTAAAAATACTTCACTTGCAACTGTCCAGGGTTTATCTCCCGTACTCCTCCCCCATGGTGCAGAAAAAAAAAAAAAAAACTTTTTGGTTGGTGGGGGGGATATCCTGGGCAGAGAAAGTGAACACCAGACCCTCCTGTGGTGCAGAGCTACTCATGTCATTTGTGGCTCTGAGGGGTTATTGCCTTACATATAAAATGAGGAGTTTGAGCTCCATGTTCTGCTTGATCCCCTCTGGCACTGAAACCATGTGGGTCTGAAACACCATTTAGAACATCTGAAAAAGCTGGTGTCTGGGGTACACTGAGTCAATACCCTGGAAAAACCTGCATCTTCCTGCACTGAGAGCAGGATACTCTTGGGCAGGAAGTGAGCATGATTGCTAGGAAGATTGCCACGTATCAGTCACAACAGCTTAGGGTTTTGTTTCAGCCCTTTTTTCTTTGCAAATTATAGCAACTGACTTTGTAAATACGGCATCTCCTAGGCTACGAGCTGTCATTGTAAGCATCCTTGCCTCCTGGCATAAGATTAAAGATGTTTACAATAGTCTCAGTGCCTGCATCTGCTGTCTGCTTCTGTTGCCTTGTGGGGCTACTTCCTGGGTCTGTCCCCATGGCCCCATAAGGCTGCATGTGCAGCTGAGGGCCACTTGTCTGCCTTCCTGATCAGGAGTGAAACTACAGGAGGAAATTAAAAACCAGGGCAGATAACTCCCCTGCTCCCTACAAGCAGCACCGAATATGTGACAACAGTGAAGGCTTTTCTCATCTTCTCCCACACTTGCTTCCCTGCTTTTTGTTAACTCTTCATAATCTGACCCTGTGAATCAAAATTCTGAAGTTACAGGAAAGCAGAATCCACTGGGTGTGGAGACTGTGCTCCCCACCCTTCCCCTCTTCATGACCAAGGATGCCCTTTTGAACCTCAGTCACATATTTAAATTATTGGCTCCAGGACAACAAATACAATTAATTTATAAGTGTATCTATGCACATTATGGCTTGATGCAACAAGTAAGGAATGATAACACATGGTCTTTGTACATGAAGAGTTTTCTCTAGTGAGGGAGATGGACGCCCCTCTGGAGCTCTGCATGTGGCTGCATTTCCTATAGTGAGTACCTAATTCTGTCCATACCCAGTCATTCAAGATTAGAGGGACCAAAGGTGTGGCTAGGGGAAGAAGGGGAGAGTATTATTCTAAAAGAAAGAAGGAAAAAGGGACCAGAGGATATCGTGTCCTCAGCCCAGGGTGATATTGCAACCCAGGGAATCCTGGACTATCTGGAGACATCTGACAATCAAGGCCTGGGCAGGTGTGCCAATGGCATCTAGTGCAGAGAGGCCAGGGCTGCTGCCCAACATGTGTGATGCACAGACTGGCCACCTCAGACCAAACATCCACAGTGCCACGTTTTGGAAACTCTGTTCTGTTGAATTTCTACATGATACAAGGAGTACGGCCAGGTATAAATGCTAGGGCTTCCACTACAGAGCCCTGAGCCAGCTCCATGTGTGTGACTGTCCACCCAAATTCCAGGTCAGGAGCAAGAGGACGGGCCACCTCCAAGGGCCTTCTTCACGTGAACCTTCTTCAGCCAGGATCTCATCCAGGCAAACATGGTTTTCAGTTAACACCACACGCAGCTTTAGGAAGCAAAATTAATTGAAGTTCTAATTTGAGACTTATTGTGCAAGAAAGAGCACTGCTCTCATTTCTCTGCTTTGATGATAGGGTGATTTAACATGCACGCGCGCGCGCACACACACACACACACACACACACAGCTTGTTTTTGCTCTCTGCCAGATTACTTTTGGAGTCAGATCCTGTGATTTGCAAGGCCTCTGTGTGATCCAGGGCTCTGCACATGATGCAGGGCTGCCTTGGTCCTTATGTTGAAGGGTTAATTACAAACCAGGCTTCCTGATTGCTCTGTGATAATGGGTGTCAAAATTTCTAAATACAGTTCTACCACCAGCTAGCTGTGTTACCTAGGGAGACCACATCCCATCTTCCTAGTTTTTTTATCTGCTGAGTTTTATTCAAATTTATGCTGAAGCCCTAACCTATGTGAGACTCTCTGCTGGGAACTGCCACACAAGACCAACTGGCCTGTCCTGGCACAGGATGAGGGGCCACTCCTGAAGCTCTGAAGCAATATGACAGACAGCCAGGCTGGTCAGGCATGCCCACCTGAGCAGAGAGCAGGACACAGGTCTTAAGGGTGCTCTGGGAGGTGTGGAGCTCAGGTTCGGCCCTCAGGTGCAAGGGTGTCGACACCATCTGAGCAAGCAGCTGTTGTTTGCTTGTATCTCTGGGGGTGCTTATTGAGCACACCCTTGGTGGGCTGACTTAGAAGTGCGGGGCTGACACTCAGAGGCTGGTTTGTAAAAGCACCATCACCAACTGAGCCGCCCAGGATTAGTGGAACAGCTTAAAGCTGGCTCTGCATTTCAGTCTTTTCCTCAGTCTGCGGAACATTCAGTTTTCAGCCCCCCACTCTTGGTCCTCATGTAGCCAAAGCTTCTGGAGAGACCATGGAGAGCTGTCCACGTTTTCAACCCTGTTTTTTTGTTCTCCTTGAAGGTGAGGTTTCACCTGTGAAGAGCTGATGGCAAGATCACATGTCCAGGGACAGGAGTGAGCTCAGTGCGGGAGGACATACCTAGCATGCAAAAGGCTCTGAGTTCCATCCCCAGCCCTGGGGACAGGGAGGACTGCACATCAATTAGCATGATTTTAGCCTTCTTTAAGAGTCATGTGCTAAATCACCCATCAGGTCAGCTTGTGCAGAAGCATGTGAAGTCCTGGACTCTGAGCAAACAAGTGTCAATAGACACACTATAAGGAAGGGACCCGAAGAGCTTCTGAACGCTCCTGAGATCTCCCAGTTCTGCTCTGAAAGCAAGTCCCAAAGGTTCCAGGCATCTTTCTGTGTATCTAGGTTGACTTTTCTTCTAGCTTAAATATAGATAATTTTCTGCTGTATTAATCCAGTTACAGCATGAGGAATTAGCTATGCTTGCCTAAAGGAAATTTAAGGCTATTCCATTAATCATGACCATGTGGGTTAGGATACTTAAGCTGCTTTATTGTGGCCTTAAAGCCTAGGCTGTAAAATTCGCTATGCCACCAACATAGACATTATTCACCATGCCTTTTTTTTTTTTTTTTTTTAAAAATGAAAACCTGTATTTATCTAACTTCTATGAATGTGGTCACTATCATAGTGTTTTCACTGAAAAAGTTGTATCCTCTGGAACTTTGTAAGGAGATACAGTCCACCAAAGTATTAGAGAGTAAATCCTGGAGTGACCTGATTTATGGTTCTGTTGGGCACTTCACCTGGCTCCTGGGAGAACATGGAGAAGCTTCCCTCAGCCCAGGAAGACGGCCCGGGATCTATGCAGGAGGTCAGCTTCAATGTGATCAACTCCAGCGTAGTTGTAGATACGTGGTTCATGAGTACTACCCAAAGATCATCAATTCCCAGGGTCATCTGCTTGTTTCAAGGCTCTTGGTCAGCCACCACTGTCCACACTTCTGCATTAGAGGCCCTCTGGAAGCCCTCAGTTTAGAACTATTTTAGGTGGCACCAAGTTATCCAGTAATTTACATTATTCTTTTTAAAGAGTACCTGAAGAAGATGCTTCTATAGCATGTTAAATAAGTGAATTATTCTGAACACATACAGTTGTTACTTTAGTTTTTTTTAAGTATTTATTTTTTAGTTATAGGTGGACACAATATCTTTATTTTATATATTTGTGGTGCTGAGGATTGAGCCCAGTGCCTCATGCGTGCTAGGCAAGTGCTCTCCCTCTGAGCCCCAGCCCCAGCCCACGTTACTTTACTTTTTAATCTTCTCTTTTATTTGAGTAAATTGGTATGTCCTGGAAATGGCCACTGTTCAGCCATTGAACAATTTGACTTCTGCAAGAAATTGAATTTCATAAGAGAGACTGGACTGCTTATTTTATATCAAACCTGGTTTTGCCATTTTATTAATATTTATTAAATAAAATATCCATCTCCAAATAATAGTCAGTTGGAGCATGGACCTAGTGTTGCAAAGGTCTGATCTATACAAGGTCACGTCAATTTCAGAAGCACCATCAGGATGCTGTGATTCCATTGGCTGAGGATTTTAGAGTTGCCGGGTCCTGTTTGTTTGAGCACTGGCTGGTACTGGGAAGGGAAAATCACTACTACTCAACTGGCGGGAACCATTAGGTCATTTTAGTTAGCAATTGGGGCATATTACATATGGTGACCCAAGATTTAAAGGCCTACCCTAAAGTGTTGACTACTTTAGTTGATGCTGGCAATTGGCAGGGAGGCAAGGCCTTGGTTACTCGATGAAGTGGGGACTAGAATAGGTCATTGTTCTTCCACAGGTGTGACCTCGTGGTGAGCTGCATAGAGCATGGCTCAGCATGTTCTTTTATGTATGAAGATAAAAGTTTATGACAACTTAGGAAGAATTCATCTGAATCCATGCATTCTATGCCAATGGATCTGTCTGGCTGTGGGGTCTCCTGTCCTAGGACAGAGGTTCTAGTGACTTCTTGAGCTACACATGGTAGAGGTATTCTCATGCCTAGATCAACTACAGTCTGGTCAAGTAGAGGGCTGCAGCTCTCATCTAGAAGCAGATCCTACCTGTTGAACTTGTGGATATGTCACAGGGATGAAAGAAGTAGTCTTCTGATAATGACCTTGAAACATCAGTTGTAAGTCGGCACATAGGATTGCTAAAGATTCTTGCTACTTGAATTTTTCTATCAAACAAAGTTGACTTTCCCCTCAAGCCTTAAAATGTAGTATGTAGTCATAAATTTGTCTTTCATTATTTCCCTTTACCATCTGCTACAACCAATCTTCTTGTTAAAGAAATTATTTCCTGTTCTTAATTTTTTTAAAAAAACTTACTACAAGTTGATTTGCTTCTTTTCTTTAGCTAACTTTAAAAATTTATGCTGAATGATCTGATGTTCTGTAGTGGAGTTAGAGGTGGTCATAGGGAACCTCACACAGCAAGAAAGACATTCATAATCACCCTTGGATGGTGAGAAGGGTGGGGATTTGTTGGGTGCTAACATCTCCCTTGAAGTTGCTTTGTTGGACAGACTTTAGATGGCTGCCATTCTGCTTTTTAGCCAGTATAGGATGTTGAGCCTCTTAAGGACCTGTTTGCTGGGGTCATGCATATATAGTAAGGCTGAGGCTGGCAGGACTGACCGTGATGCACAGGACAGAAGCTCTGTGCTTGCTCAGCAGTTCATGTTTGTGAACAGTGTCTCAGGGTCTCAGATCTCTGACCACATAGAGGCTGGGAGGGGCCTTGCGATTACTACCCAACCGTCATTGAGCTGGACACCAATTAAACACAGTGGCACACTCACAAATTTCCAGGACAGGATGGTTCTCCCAGATGTTTTGTAGGAGATCCAAAGCAAAGTTTGACCATTGGTTTTTCACAAGCTGGCCAGTTGTCTAATAGTCCTTAAAGCATCATTGACCCTCAGGTTTGCTTGAGTTGCACTGGAAGCTTACCAGGCCTAAGCCTTCTAGAATCATCACTTTCATCTTCATCAGAAAAAGGCATTCCAAGACCCACAAAAAACTGAACCCAAGACTTTGTCCATATAGGCAAACAGCTAAACCCAAGCCAGCAGCAGTAGAGCGTAATAATGTTTGCTAGTGGTACAGCTTCAGATAATAGGTCTAAAGCTTTATGTAATGGTCTAAGTCAATGACCTAATGGTAGACCTCTCAATCAGAAACCTAGGTACTTCATACAAAGACCTTGGCCTCATGACCTTGTGTAAGGACATACTTGGTTACAAACCCTAGGATAGTAAAGTACATTGAGCAGCAAAGCCCAGGGGACTCAGGGGAACTCAGACCACCAGCATCAGTACTAACCTACAGAGCTGAAGGGCAGCTGGAGTTGGGGCCCAGTGAATGTACCTGGGGTCCAAGGATGCCACAGTCCTCAGGGCCTGAGTGGGACCACCAGAACTGTGCAAGGGTGAGATGGAAATACCAGCTGATTCATGGCACCGATTGTTAAGAGAAAGCTCTGTGCTTCAGGCATCGGCCCCAGAGCAGAGAAGCATGTGCGCCATCCATGGGGGTTGGGTGGCAGAGTGCAGGGGTCATTGAGAGGAGCAGTGAACTGACATCATCTGAACGGTATGGTTGCTTGGGCTGAGAGGTTCTCAGAGCTGCACTTTTGGGGGAGCCTGACCCCATCGGCTGGCAAATCATGCAAATGATTTTTGATGCAGAGCAAAACACGTGCCGCCCAGTGTGACCACCTCCTCAGGGTCACCTGTGGGAACTTCCTGGGGTGGGAGAGTCTGGCCAGGATTGTTTTTTCATTACCATTTTTGGACAATGGGGAAGGATGCTCTCCCTGATATGGTTTTGAAGTTGAGTTTATTTAGAAAATTGGTAAGAGTCCCTGTCTCGTTATTGCTGAATATTGCATACACATTTCTACAAATGAGTCCCTTGAGACACATTCCCAGATGTGCATAAATAAGATCACAGGTAACTCTGATTCTGTCTGGGGTGCAAGTGGGATACAGAAAGAAGATTTTTCACTTCGTCTCATATCTGATGTTAAAGATTACAGTGCTCTAAACCAGTTGTTCCAATATTTGTCTTCTTTTCAACTGCACAGCACTTGATGTTTTACTGTTTTTAACAAATGCCAGCAAGGCTACCATCCAACTAGAATAATGCATACACTGACTATATTGTTTTAACCACAGTGTTCTTATTTCCATCTCAGATATTCTGAATGACAGATCTGTCAGTGTCTTTTGACTCCAATTTATAAATGTATCCATGTACTGGTTAAGCGGTTGGACTCAACCAGGCATATTTTCTGATAAGCCTGGTGCTGATAAGTTTGCATGTTGCTTAAGGACAAGCTCCTTTAAAATATGCTGGAGTCACAAGATGCTGGAGTCTTTCCATTCAGTCTCACCTGCCAGAGAAGCACCGATTGGCCCAGAACCAGCCCCGCGTTTTGTTTGATTCAATCTGTGAGTTCATCCATCGCTTGCAACTCCTTGGAATTTAGGCCGCCACCTCATCAGCCATTCACTTCCTGTTCTCCTGAGAGCTAAAAATAGGACTGTCATGGAGAGGAGTTTCTTTCCCAGGAATTCTATTTCCTAGGGGAAGGAAGTGAGCCAGGGCTCAACTCTGCAGGACCCTTCCCTGCAGAGGCCAGGGGAGTCACCAGGAGGGGCAGTCCCAGGGTCTGGAGTCTGTTCCCCAGGCGGAGATGCCTGTGGTAGACACACATAAGGGCTGTCCCCTCTGCTGAGCAGGCAGATGCCCCTGCCGTGCCACCTCCTCTCAGATGCAAGTGGACAGCCCAGCTCTGTCACTATGTCCATGCCCTAAGTCAGGTCCCACAGGCCTCGGGTTCCCACACTAAGCCCCACACCTTCCCTCAGAGCAGATGAGCAGGGCCAGGCCCATGGGCACCTGGCTGGGCCTGGCCGCGTCTGGCAGGTGGGACAAGGGGGCTCTTCACAAAGCTTCTGCTTGTGTCTTGCAGGTGAAGAACTCTGCTCAGCAGCCCCAAATGGCGTTCACGGTCCGCCGAGCCACTGTCACCTTCCAGACAGAAGGAGACACGTGGCGGGAACAGAAGGAGCAGAAGGCGGCCCTCATGGTGGGCATCCTCATCGGGGTGTTCGTGCTCTGCTGGATCCCCTTCTTTGTCACCGAGCTCGTCAGCCCCCTCTGCTCCTGGGACCTCCCTGCCGCCTGGAAGAGCGTCTTCCTCTGGCTCGGCTACTCCAACTCCTTCTTCAACCCGCTCATCTACACGGCCTTCAACAAGAACTACAGCAGCGCCTTCAAGAGCTTCTTCTCCAGGCAGCACTGAGGAGAGGCCGGCCGGTTCTCCTGCAGCCCCGGGGACGTCCTCCAGGTGCCCCAGGCCCACCTCAGAACTCGGTGGGCTCGGTTCTGCACTCGCCCCAGGGACAGGCCTCCGGAGGCTCTGGTGCCACCACCTGGCCCAGCTCCTCTGCCGCGCTCTGCGGCAGCCACTCGCCTGCCAAAAGCCTCTCCTTCCGCAAGCCCACCCCAGCGTGGCTGTCGGAGGAGGCGGAGGAAAGGGAGGAGGCAGAGCAAGGGCAGAGGGAGGGACGTCAGAGTGAGAAGCCATCACGGGGGCACGGTGGGGACGCGGTGGGGAGAGAAGACCGCCGTCCCAGCTTCCTGGAGGACCCTCGTTGCAGGGTTCTGCCTGGGGTCTAGTGAGATCTCTCGACTGAGTATTGGGTATTTCACAGTTTTTACTCACAAAATATCATCTCCAAACATATTAAAGGGCATGGCCTCTTCTGTGAGACAGTGACTTTGGGCTTTAAGATTTTGTTTGTGGCATTTACTTACACACACACACACACACACACATGCACGCACACACCCTATGGAAGGACAAGTGTTCCAATTGATAGCTTACTCCAAAGCACGACCCATCGGCTTGGAATAGGTTCTAAGAACCAAATTTAGTGTTTTCTGCCCTTTTGAAGCAACTGTCCACAAACATCAGAAAAATTGACTAGTTTCAAAAAATCTGCCCAACTTGCTGATTTGCTCTGGGTTTCATGTGCGTGGAATTCATTCAGTGTTTCTGGGCAAAGGCCATCATCCTGGGATCATGGGGTCAGAGTGAACCCACTGTTGTGAAGTTGCAGAGTTCTTGAACACAGCTGCACAGCCAGTGACCACGAGGCACAGTCACCAGGCACGTGTGCTTTACCAGGACTTGATGCATCTATGGTTGCTGCTTTGTTGGCCTGCGAACTCCTCCAGGAAGCTGACCCAGTGAGCAATGAGGAAGACATTACCATGCCACAGGTGGCCACCCTCCACAGAGCAGCAGTCCAACTGGCCAGGCAGGACGAGGTGCCATGGCATTCATGACCACTTAAGACTTTGGCCACACCCATGTCTCCAGAGCCAAAGGACCTAGAAAAACATCCCCAAAGAATCTGAAGAGATAGTAGACACTGTCTTTCTAGAATAGTGTGTGTGTGCTGACCTCGTACCAAGAGCAGATGGTCCCTCATCCACAGGGACCTTCAGGCCAGAGGAGTGTGTCACTGTCTCAGGATACTTAGTTCTCAGCAAAATCCCCACTGATTCACTGCATCTGCAGTGACCATGGCCACAGACGTGAGCAGAGGATCTGTAGGTTAAATCACAGTGATCTATAACAGGATTCCTCTCTATAACCATGGAGAAGCCGTCTGCTGAGGGGTCCCTGGTGAGCGGGCTGACTCTTGGCAGGAGAGGAGATGGGCTTTGGCAATCACCTTCAGTCGGACAAAATTGACCAGAAATGCGACTGCTGTCTTCCTCGAAGGTTTTGACCTTAAGTGGAGCAGATGTTCCCCAAGACCAGGGACCTACCATGTAGGAACACTGGCCTCAAGTGACTGTGTCTTACACTAGGGGACTCCGTCTGAGCCGCTGTCTCACATCCACCCACGGTGGACAGCAAACGAGGCCTCTTCCTCAGCCCTAAGAACAGCCCTCAGATCCGTAAACAGTTTCTCACAACGAGGCCGTGCTACAGGTGATTGTCACGCAGGGGCTTTTTTACCTCACTCAGAACTGACAGAATACATTGGAGACTCCCTTGGGGAACCCTGTGAAGTGCTTGCAACGTGTTCTAAGTCGAGTAAAATCTGAGCTGTTTTCTTAACTAACCATGGCTCTTTAGTCGGGAGCCCTCGGTGTGACCAATCTTAAAAGCAAAAAGCAAGTAGGAGCATGATGGTTTGCCTCTTTCCTGCACTTCTTTGAACTCTAGGTATAAATAAACCAACTGTTGGTGTCTACCAGATTCTGTGATAAATATGTACTTAAGGTACTGTATTTCATCCTGTTACACCAAAGGATTCTGACCCCTCCAGATCACCCCTGTCATAGCATCTGGGGACTTCACCCACATCAAGTAGCAATTGAATAACAATAAACCTTGGCCATTGCACAAAACTTTGGCCTGCTCCTGGCCGATACAGCTCCCTGTGGCTGCTGTGTCCCATAAGTTTAAAAGCTGTGTCTTACAAGGCTCTCTGAATTATTCTGGCACACACAATAATAAATGTGTAATACATTGTGTAGAACAAACTTTATCAGTTAAGCTTTCCAAAATAGGAAGTGAATGATGATTTCTTTGTGTTTTGACTTGAACTTTCGTATCCCATTTACTGCGAAGCCCGTTATGGGAGGGAATGTCAGACACTGGGCCTCACGACTGGGAAGATGAAGTCAGGCACCTTGTCTGCCCTGCAGGAGGAAGATTCATTGAGGGACTTACCCGGACACGTCTTTAAATTTCCCTTCCTTCTGTATGTATCTTTTGCACTACTGAACTCACAGATATTTAAAAACACACACTATGATCTACTCACTTTACCTGTCTCCAGTATCACTTGGAACGAGAGAGGTCCTCAAGTGCCATTTGTATTCCAGTGTCATAATAGATGAAGCCATCCATCAAGTGACCCACAGAAGAAAAAAGTAAACTCCGACATGGGAATCCGGAGAGCAGAGTCCGGAGCAGGTTTAAAGTGTCAGATTTACCTGAACGTGCACGTGAGGGCTCTCATGCTGTCCCGAGGTCAGCGTTTGTCTTGTTGTTAGTGAGAGGCATGTTTCCTCCAAACTTTCCTTAAGTGAAAATTGGGAAGACGTGTGGTTCCAGTGCTTCCTGACTCCCGCATGGTTCTGTACACCCAATAGAGAAAGACGTTGTTATAATATTAATTCAGTCTCCAGATAAGGTGATTATCAACCTTTCCATCAGATGACTAAGATGAAGCCCCTTATCAGCCAATATGTATTTGATGTGTCCCAGACAGCGCTGACATGATAGAAAACACATTCTCCCTGTGATAGCTAGAGCAGAAAGCACTTGGTGTACAAGAAGGAATAAGTGGCAATTAATGAATTATTTTGCTTCCGTTTCAGTATGAAAAGTTAAACAACTTTTCATATTTATCCCAGGGGAGAAATATCATGATTCTGATTTTGATCAAGTCTGTTGTGTGCAATTCAAATACTTTCATTTACTCTTGGTTGCAAACGTGTTATCAGGTTAGCAATGAACCCAAATCACGAACATAAGGAACCTATTAAACAGCAGCTCCCTGTCCTTGTGCCGTATGGTAGGGAAACTGAGGGGAAGAGGGCTTCCTGCACATCCTGGATTCTCCACGGCCACCAGGCTACCCGGGAAGCTCCTGCAGAAGATGTCCATGAAACAGCAGCTCTGTCCCCACTAAAGATGTCACACTAAGAAGGCAGTTCTCTGGAGATGGACGGTCTTATACTCCTCAGGGTCTTTTCAAGTTTTGATTTTCCTTGTAGAGTGGTGAGGGGCAGTAGCTGTTTCTGACTCTGATCGACACAAGGTCATTTCATGGACCTTATTCCTGAGATGAGCTGATTATTTGCTGCTCCTCCTAAGAGGGGCCCTTCTGCTTCTGTGCTGGTTTGGTGGCCTCTGTGCTCTCCTCGTCGTCCAGAGGCCATGAATGCAGTGACCTGTGGCCCTGCTGTTAGGCAGGACTTAGCCTGCAGCCTGAACTCACAGTGCACATGGGTTGCTGGCTGCGGTTGACTGAGCAGGGGAGACGAGGCTTCTCCGTGTGGGCCTGTGTCGGCCCTGCACTCTCTGGAGCTCAGGGGCCCTGACTAGCTGCCCACGTGCGGCTGTGGGCTGGATGGTCTTCCTTGGTCACAAGGCGCCCCACCTGGCCTCACTGTGCATGCAAGGCACCTGGCCCAGGGTTTGGGTGGCCATCTGCAGGCTAAGGGACTCTGTTAGGAACTGTTGGTTCCACATGGTTCCTTCCAGCCATCTCTGCCTTCTGCTCTGGCTACATTCAGCCTTCAGTCCTCCTGGAAAAGACACCTGCCTTCAGGCCTCACCTTCAAAGCCCACGACCCTGTCACTTGCAGCCTCCTTTGCCAGCCTTGGGCTGGAGGCTGCTGGGCCAGCGTGGCTGCCCAAGGCAGGATGTCAAGGCAGGAAACTCAGGACAATGTCCAGCTAACTCACAAGGTTCCCTCAGTGTCAGAGGTCACCCTGGACCAGGAGTGGTCATCTACATGTGTTAGGCGCTTGCTGCATGCAGAGCAGGGTACTGAGCACATGAGGTTCATCTGCATTTGGCCCTCACAGCGGCCCTCTGCAGTGGAGATCGACACCAGGTCTCTTGAGTCACGTAAAAACTAGCAGGATTAGAACCTAGGTCTGACACCGAAACCTGCCCTTTGGCTCTGCCCGTAGCGTGGAAGCAGCCTTTAGAAGTGAGAAATGGTGTATGGGGTCCAGGAGACGGCAGAGTTTGGGCAGCCACTGCCTCCTGATGTCCCCACCTAGGGCACCTGCACACCAGCTGCAAAGGAGCCAGCTTCCTGAGGGGCCCTTTGAGCATTCTCCATTGCATCCTTATAAAATCTGGGGCCTGGGTGTCACCCATGAGTGACCCCAGCTCTCGAGTCAGCCCTGCCCTGTGTCAGGACCAAACAGCCTCACACACCTTGGCTGAGGGCCCAGTGGGTCCAACATGAGGTTCTGGACAGATGGGAGACTCTGGGTGGGAGTAGGGAGGGATCAGCGCTCGAGGGTGACTGGGTAACTGGTAAAGGGAGGTGCTGGCACTGACCTCCGTACCCTTAAAGCCCGGGCGACTTCACCTTTGGCCAATGCCCCGTGTTGCCCTTCCGTCCTCCCAGGACCTCCGTAGACCTGGGTGGAGAGAAGCCACACTTCACCCGCCTGCCCTGCCAGCTCTGGAGGGAGACTGGGGGCTGCAGCAGAAGAGGGACCTCGTCCCCGTGGGAAGTCTGTGGTGAGTGAGAGCAC